TCATATGTGCCAGTTACACTGTCAGGGGTAACCGTAGGAGATTTGGATAAAGGATTACGAAGAGCAGAATGTCAGAGCAACCCTGATAAAGAATTACAAAAGAATAGAGTGTCAGAGTAAGCTCCACGTAACTGCTAACGCAGAATAAATATCTTCATGTAGTTTACTAAAACTAGGATGACGTGTAACAACCGTAGCTTTAATTTTATATAAATAGAGCAGAAGATCCTCTGTAGCTTTGTAGCCATTTGCTGGGTACCTACCTGCACTTCTACCCGAATCATATTTTCTTTACTCAGTATAAAATCAGCTAACTCTATATGTACGAATTGGCATGTTCCTTTGGGTCTTGATTTCTTTTCCCCCACAATACTTTAACTGTTTTCAATCTGGGCACAAATAGAAAATAGTGATATATATTTATGTCATCCTATGGTAAACTGGAGGTATTTGGGAGGCCCCGTGTACATTAAAAATATCATATGGCTATGATAAGAAAAATAATTGCTCCCGCTTTGGGCGAATTTTTAAAGAGCTAAAACCATCTGCTGGTCATTACTTTAATAGTTTCAGAGGTCTCTGCAAATAAAATAATGACAACACCCTTGAGTTAGTCTTTGCTCTGAAAGTATAATTTAGAATGGCTTTCTCATTCCAAGCATTTCTCAGCTTAATCTGCTACTGTTCAGAGATGAGAACCAGTTTTATTTTTCTATGCTGACAAGTTTTAGACATTCTTGGCTCTATATATTCTTTTTTCAATGCTGTATGCACGCACACTGGCCAGCTATAATCTAGCTTCTCTCTTGTCTGATCAAATATAGAAATAAAATCATTTCTACTATTAACATTCTGCCACCAAACCGCTTTGCTCAGGGCCTCAAGTTCAATAGGTACATTTCTGCCTTCCAAGTTATCTCAGATGATAGTGGTACCTAATGTGTTTCAGGACTGCACAATCTGGCTTACTATTTTTCTAGCCTCCTATAATAGACACATTTCAGGATTTTTCATAGCAGAAACCCACTTCTAAGTGTAAATCTCTCTTTGTCAATTTGTTTTTTTGTTACAATGATAACAGCTCAAAACCTCAGTGGCTTTCAAAATCAAATGATTTCCTCATTTTAGGTAGCAGTTCAACAGGGGTTTGGGTGGAGTTTGGCTGTGATTGGCTCCAGGCTTCGAGTCTTATTCAGGATTTTTTCCCATGTCTTCTTCATTCTTGATCTAGCAGATACCTGCTGCATTCTCCTCTCACAGTAGATTACAGAAAGATGCCAAGTCAACTTAATTAAGACAAAACCTCTGCTTGCACTATGTTTGTTTACGGAGAACAATACAGGAATTGTGGGAAAGCAGAGACCACAGGATTCCTCAGTCCTTATTGATATTCCACAGATAAACATGCTTGGGTCAACAGAACTGGAGAATTTCACTCCAGCACCATTTTATACGTTTACAGACTGGTCTAATAGAGAGTATGAAACACCATTCTGTGACAAAGGGTTCCACAATCAATGAAGTGGGGAAGTATATTCCACCTACTATAATGGGAGGTACTGAAAAGTCACCTGCCAAAAGATGTCCAGGTATAATTCTATAAAATGGAAGGGGTGAAGAATTAGAAACATTAATAAAATCTACAAAAGAGTAGAACAAAAACAAAAATATACTTTTAAAAATTGCAAATTACAACTACAAAATGTGTAGAAATGTTATGTTATGAGAGATAGCCAACAAAATTAACATTGTACAGAAATTGACTCTAAGTGAAATTTCTTTTAATAGAAAAGTAGGATTAAATACATCAAAATAAGAATGTTTGTGAAATAAATAGTTGACTAACATTCACTAATAATTAACAAGGACCTATAAAACGAAAACAGGTAGGCATGAAGCCCGAACTGTCAGATATAAAGTACTTACAGTAGATGGAATATGCTTCCCCACCTCATTGAGTGTGGAACACTCATTGATAATTGAGGTAGGTTATGTGACTTGCCCTAGTCAATGGAATGTTAGCAAACATAACGCAAGCAGAGGCTTTAATTGTCTTACTTAAAATGATTTGGCCTCTTCTGATCCTATAACTTGAAATCTTGGAAATAAATAATGTAGCAATTTCAAATTACTGCTTGGAAATGAATAATGTAGCAATTTCAAATTATAATCTCAACATCATTGCTTCTGTAGTGGACACAGTTTAAGAGAAAATCAGTGGGTTGGAGGTCAGTACTTCCTAGCAAAGGGGAAAGAAACTGATTAAAGTAAAAATAATTAAGAGTTCTGGAATATTAGATTAGCCACATGTCAATGTTGAAAACAGAAGTCCCTCTAAGCTTCTTTGCAAGAAAGAGCTGGGAATGCAAGAAGTTAGAGAACTACCTTTGGTTATCGACTTCAGGATCACACCATCGAAGTCATGGTCTGGAGTTCAGGAAGCTGCTGCTGCTGCTGCTACAGCTACTATCTCCTCCACAACAGATTTTTATTCCCATGAAGTTGATGACTAGATAAAGGAAAGTGGGGAAAGGCCACCACAAACATTCATCTTTGTCTGATCTCAGCTTGCCAGAAGTAGAGGCGGCAGCAAGAAGTTGGCCTATGCCTTCATTCTGACCTCCAAGTATTATATGAATGTTTCTACGTGGTAGAACCAATCCCCTACAGATTCCTGAGAAATTCTTGGCTCTATATTACATGCTCGAGAAAGGGAATATAGTATAATTTAAAAATAACTGAAAATGATTCCCACTAGGATAACCAAAGGACAGCATTCTAAACTACTTATGGGAGGCAGGAAGGGAATATCTTATTTAGAAACCAAATATTCGCATTTAAGGAAATAAACTTCAAATACTACGTGAGACCAAAAACTGTGATAAATTATTTATTTCTACTCAGGAAAATAAGTTTGTCTTTACATATATGTTTTCTTATTTTATATGTAAAATCAATATGTTTACTGATGGAAATAAATATAAATAAATTAATCTTAATGTTACAAAAGAATACAATTTACAATTTGGCTGTGAACATCTCACTTCAGAAATATAGAAGCTTTTCTTATGTTAATATTGTAACATCCCTGATACTTTTAAAGAGATTAAGTCAAAGAAGATACCTTACACAAGACTCATTTTCAAAATAAAAAAAGAAGAAGAAGAAAAGATTGTAGCATATTCATCTTACAAATAATGGGCTGTGTTCATACAACAGAGGAAGAATTAGTCTTTCATTCTATGTTCCTCCCTTGCCACCAACACTCCTTGTTCATTAGCTTTTTCCTTCAAAATATTTTGCCAACCCATTCAGGCTCATTTTAATAGAATAAGGAAGAAAAAGCCTTACAGCCAAGGATTATTTTATAGTGTGGTTCATCGCTCTTTGGCAACTTTGCTTAGAAGAGACTGGATTCAGCTTTTTGTTTATTTTTGATATCCTTAAATTTTTTAAATTTCTTTCTTAAATAAAAATATTACACATCTAGGGAAAAAAAAATTACTTATTGTCTTTTCTTCATGCTCCCATTCTAAGTATGAACAGATCTCTACACCTTGCTACACTTTTAGGAAAATAATCATTCTCAATTCCGTGAGTTATTCTATTTTCAAGAGGCTTAGGTATGTTAAATGTGTGATTCCAGGGTAGACTCCTTTCTCCTTGCTTTGTTGACATTCCTAACGCACCTTAAAGACAATGATAACATTCAAAACGAAGAGCACTACTGCATTTATTGTATCCATTCCTGAAGGTAGGTCTAAGTAATTAGAAATGATCTGTGTACTTGTGTGCACTTTCTTCTTTACTCTTCTTTCACTAGGTCAGCTAGCCAGTGGTTACTAGCATCATAAGCAAAATTGTCAAAGTTAAATAGGTGTGCCCTGAAAAATAAAAAAAAAAAAAAAAGAAAAAGTTAAAATCAAAATGATTTTATTTACTAGTGAGAAACATTGATTTTTAGTTACTGTGTGATACATTATCAAAAAAAATCAGTTAATGTGGGGTGCAAAACAAATGAAAAATTAGTAAGTTATAGAGAATAACAACTTTCTATAGCTTTAGCTTAGTAGCTGTGGCAACAACTAAAATGTGACAATTGAGTTTTTAGTTTCTTTCTTTAATAGTGGCCAAGCTAGAATCAATTAAGATACATTCAGACTAAAAGTCAATAAATTCCTACCTGGGGGATATGTTAAAAAACATTTAAATAAATAAAAATTAAAAAGTCAATGAAAACCCCCTGAATATTACATGTGGAATAGAGGAAAGAGTCATTAAGAGATTTAGAAAGTTTTAAAGATACATTTACATCAAGTTATTTTTGTGTAATAATTTTGTATAAAGACATAAAAGAGATCTTTTAAGATCTATAAACATGACCTACAAAAAAGATATCTTAACACATATTCTCATATTTTTTAAACGCTGAAAACTCTAAAAGCCAACAAGCAAAAGGACAAACATATACAAGATAGGCCAAGCATCTCATGACACAAATTATCATAATGAAGCCATTCTTTGTAAGTTCTAATGTATCATCCCTTCCCCCCCAAAATATTTGTGCCATTATAACATGACAATAAACTGAGTGCAAAGCACAGGATGAAATAAGCACACTGCTAACAAGTCCAGAACTGATGACGTGTCACAGTAATGAGAGATTCAATGTGTTAGTCATGCATTCAATAAAGAAGAGATAGTTCTGGCAATAGTAGAAATTTAAGCCTCTATTAGCCTTTAAAAGTCATGGAGCAAGCCCAAGACAACTGCATTTGTGGATATTTTACAACAACAGAAATATGATTTTGTTAAACCACATATACCTTTTATAATTTACCAGAAGATCTTATTTCTGAGGCACCAACAGTCACACTTAAATATAAAACATAACATTGAGTGTTTTGTTGTTCTTATGTATTTTATAAGAGCTGAATAGTAGAGAAGGAAAAAAATAACTGAATTACATAATTTTAATTTCAATCAAACAGCAGAATCAAGCAGTCGCTTACACTGCCATCCCTAAACTAAATTTTATCATACAAATGCAATGCTTCTAAAAGAAATAAATAAATCCTCTGCTAGACAAACACAAAAAATCACTAGATGAAGTTAGTCTCACTTTCATATTCATTAACTATATCCTCTGTTGAAATGAAATATTTAATTAAATGAGTATTAGATAAAAAAGCTAACCAGGCTTACATAAAGTTAACTCTTACCCTCCACACTTTATACTTCTAAAATAAGGCAAGTGGAGTGTTTTTTATATGTACACGTAAAAAGCAAATTCTTTCTTAGATGTTTCCAAGAATTTCCCTCTGATTGAGAAATTGAACAAGTAGGTTTACCGCAAAATCCCCAAATACAATGAAACAGAAATACAGTAGTTCCCTCATCCATGCTTTCAGTTACCGGCGGCGACAATGATCCTGAAAATAGGTGAGCACAGTACAATAAGATATTTTGAGAGAGACAGACCACATTCACATAACCTTTATTACAGTATATTGTTACAGTTCTATTTGATTATCACTTGCTATTAATTTCTAACTGTGCCTAATTTATAAATTAAACTCTATATCATTGGTATATATGCATAGGAAAAAAACACATTATATATAGGGTCAGGTTCTAGCTGTGGTTTCAAGCATCCACAGGGGCTCTTGGAACATATGCCCACAGATAAAGGGGGGGATACAGTATTCTCCTTCCTTCTACATTCTAGCACTTCTTGTCTTGTTAAAAGTATCACAGCTAATCACTTTACCAAAGTACGTGAAGAAACTGATGAAAGCCAGAGAAGACCTGGCAAATCTCATTCCGCCCCTTCCTGACCCACAAAACCCGAAAGCACTAGCTTTGCTAAACTGATAATACTCTATAAATTGGTAATTTATAGTTTGATAAATCGATAATACTGTTTCAAAAGGAGATATGGAGCAAAACCAAAAATGTACATGAGATTGGTGGTTTAATTTTTTTGGGGGTAGTTTTGCTGAGGCATCTGTACCAACTTCACTCACTTTATGTGACTTAGAACTCTGTTAGTTTTTACTAGGCTCTACACCACATTCCTTAAAAAGTTTCTAAAAAAAATAGGGAAAAAGTTATCTCTTACTAAATTTGCTATTGTAACATCTAGAATATTTTATTGGTATTAAACAAATACCTGTAAAAACTATTAACTGCCACTCCTCCCCCTGGACCTAATGGTCAAATATTTTACTAAAAGACTGACCCATTTACTGATTTAAAAAATATTTACATACTGTAGCTTATAATAGCCTTCAGTAATATTGTAAATTTAAAGAGAAAGGAAAGAGTGATAGGGGTTAAAAAGCAAATAGCTGACATCATCCAAAGAATTAAAACAGGAAATTTAGTAACAGCATTAAAATGTAGTTTTTCTTGTTAGTTAATGAAAACAATGAACAGTCATGGGCAGCCTGGAAATAACTCAAGTTTGTCTGAACTCCACAATTAGTGTTCTGAACAGTTAAATCTAAAAAACAGAAGAGCGTCAATTTAAATGTTTCCGTTTGTTTACAGGATACATCAGAGCCAACCATGACATTGACACTTAACATAGGTAGACTCAGTGCAGAGTAGATATTTCAAATAACACTGATTTTGTGTGTGTGTGTTGCTGTTTTAACATCTGAGTGCTTACTAAGTGCCAACTAATGTTCTAAGCACCTCACAGGTGGCAACTCATTTGATCCTTACTACGCTCTCATGAGGTAGGTACTGTATTTCCTCCATTTTACAAAAGAGAAAACTGAGGCACAAAGAGGTTAAATTGCTCACAGTCACATAGCTCCTTAAGGGTGGACCCTGAATTCAAACTGAGCAGTCAGACGCCAGAGCATGCCTTTCTACCCACTGGGCTGTTTGGGGCTCGACTGGCATCTATTTAGAAATATAACTCAGAAAAAGGTCCAATCACAGGCAATTTCACATGTTCGAGGCCGACATTCCTAGCTTTCTTTGCTTCTGTGTAACACACAGACACTACTGAAGCTTCTATTGAGTAGAAAAAAGGATCAGTTGGTTACTAGATGACAAACGGAGACTCTGGCTTTCAAGTCACTTTCCCTTCAAATGTGGTCAGTGTTCTTGAATATATTAAGGGGAAAAAAAGTGATCAAGTCTACTCGTCCAGGATAGTAATTATAGATACAAGCAATGAAAAGTCAGCATGTCAAAAAATGCAATAAAGCTAACAAAGTTATATACTGATGTTAGTATAAAATTTTACTGCAAAGAAGCTAAGAATAAATTTTTAAAAATCATCAGAATTTCTGCTCACCCTGAATTTCCACAGTCCCACACCTACACCTATGGAAGCGATTATTACAACACCAGCAACAATTCCTTGAGGGGGAAAAATATGGTAACATGGTTAATAGAAATATGAGCAATTACATATTTCATTACATTAGTGTAGTTTCATATGATATACTTATTGGTTATGAAGTTAAAGAAAAAATAGGAGACATGAATTGCTTTATATGTACGGCTTCCTTATGTCACAAGTTTGACAATAACACTGCATGTCATTTGTCCTGTTTTCTTTGAAAGAAAAAGAAATGAAGTATTTAAAGAGTGACAATGGTGAAATATAAATTTTTTGACAGGTTTGAGAGGATTCTAAAGTGTTTTGACCCAACCATGCTCAATTTTAAATATTCTGATCATTGATCATTCAAATCTGATGACGGAATTATATCATTTTAGAGCAGAAGGTATCGTCAAGTTCACTCTCATTTTGTAGATGAGTAAACTAAGTCTCAGAAAGATGGAAGCTACATGTGTGGTGAATGGGAGGCCATTTACTTAGCTCATAGCAGAGATAACAGATACGTAGGCATTTCCCCATCATAGAAAAGATGCCTGTACTATTATCATCTGAGATGTAGAAGGCAAAATATGTTTATTTTGCCTACAGAATATGCTTCTCAGTGTTGAGTCGATTGTATTAAGAGATGAAATTTCATTTAGGAAAGCGATATTTACTTTTAAGCTTAAAAGCCCTATTTTGAGCCAAACAACAGCAAATAATTGGTCAAATACATTGGTCAACATCAAATCATTTTCACAGTTTGCTTTATATTCTTTCGTCTTATAACCACCCATTTGTCCTCTTCTCTTACCATCCTCATTCTCCCTTTCCTTCCCCAACATCTCCCACCCCCACAAATGACTCTGGACTCTACCCCTTTGATCTGTACTACAAAGGAAATTATAGGTGACACTGGCAAAGCAACCAAAGCTAATGTTACTAATGAGTATATAATTGTCTAATTTGAGTTGGGCCATCTCTCAGCCTGTCACTAGGATGACAATCTTTCAATGTTTTAAAGTACCTGCTACTAGAGAAACTAGTCATCTGTCTCTATTTACTGCTTACTAGCTCTCTGACCTTGGGCAAGTTACTAGTATTGTAAAACCCCCGTGTTTTTAGCTGAAAGTGGGGTATAATTGCTACATTATGGGATTGTTGTGAGCAGTAAATAAAATAATACGTACAAAAATCTCAGTGTTACAGTATTTGACGCAGAACAAATATGAAAATGTTACCCAAATAAAAGAGCATTCTTATTCTTTGGTGTGGCCAGAGGAAATGATAAAATTGTCAGAAATCCACCTTAGGAAAATAATAGTGACTATATGCCATAACTCCTTTAAGCTAGTATTTATTCAATTTTTACCACTGTGCTAGGAGTTTTCATATTCACTATCACATGAAGCTTCAAAAACTTTAAATACGAATTACAATGTCTATCTCATAAATGAGAAAACTGGGACTCAGAGATTAAATTAATCAGTTGGCTTGAGTAATTACTAAATGAAAAGAAAACAGAATTCAAACCAAGGTTTAACTGGTTTAACTCTAAAGGACAAACTGTCTTCTATATGGTATAGTCTCAAAAACAACAGCAGCAACAGCAACAAAAACCATAAAGCACTTATTCTCAGTGGGTGTTATACGCGAAGGTGAAAAAAATTTTACTTTTTAAAATGTATCAAGTACAGAGACATATGTGGTACATAAACAAATTACAGTACATGTGTGTCGGGGGAAGGGAGGATTAAGAAAAAGTATCTAAAAAGGTCCTTGGGGAAGAAAGGGCAAGAATGAAAAAAGAAACTGAGCAACACTCAAACAGAGCCAGTGGAAGAACACCTTTAAAATTCACAGCACAAGGCTCAGTTATAAGGCAAACTAGGAAGTTCTCTCAAGATTAGTTTCTCTCTCTCAGCAGAATTAAATGGGGGAAAAAATCAAATACTTCCGAAGTTCGAAGATCATGTGTATCAGTGACTTATATTGCAGTGTAATGACTAAAACAATTTTCTTGCAGTAGTTAACTTACCTTTAAAGTGAGAAATGTAACCTGATTCACACAATAAATTAACCAAATAAAGATAATTTTCAGATTTGCATCTTACAAGTATAAGATCACAAAACAATGTTGCCATATGTCTGATATAAGAAGGAAAGAGCTCCTTTTATTTTTAGCACAAGCTGGAATTATAAGGAACACCAACCAGAGTTTTCCTGAAAGTCACAAAGACTTCAAGAATTTCAAAGAAAAAAAAATAAGTACTTCAAAGCTTCACTGAATGCCACTGAGCAGATGAGACAATGCTCATGTATTAAACTCATCACTTTTGTGAGCATTAAATCATTAAAACATAAAGTTTTCATTTAGAATATGGATATTTCTACTTAAAATATAGAATGAGCAAAGTGAATTCCAACTGTTGGAATCCTTCAAGATAAATCTTTTAACTTACAAAAGGTTCACTCGAAGTGTAAAATAACCATAATAAATAATAATGGTAATAACAGTAATACTGTTATTATTGTTTTCAGTTATATCATCTCTTGGCTAATTCATGTATGCATAAGATGGAGGACCTCAGCTTATAAGAATGTATTTTAAAAATATGCATTTTTATAAAAGTGTATTTTCTACTGGACACTACTTATCACTATGCCAGTTTAGCTATATTGCTCCTTAAAAAACATTTCTCTTGCCATCTTCTTTAAGAGTTCATTAATCTTCTTAATCCATAACATTAAATATTATATTTATGGACAAAAAACTGAACCAAATCCTAGAAGAAATTACAAAACAGATATGTTTTTGGCCTCATGTCTACAGCAACAGAATTTTTTTAAAGATAACTTCGCTTCGAATAGCTAACGAAGACTGGAAAAGGAGGAAGATGTAATCAAAGGTAGCACTCTGTCTTGGGATAGGACAGAAATCTGGAAATGGTCAAGGAGTAGTTTATGATTAATTATAAAATACTTGATAAAAACTGTATTGATAACTGTTTCTTTCTTGCGGTCCTTTAGCCCCTAGAATGATGCACAGAGACAACGGGCACGCAGTAATGACTAAGTGGTCAAATGATGTGAAGTTGTCCTAAAATTACCTTGGAACAGGAACATAATTGGGGATACCTAGGAACTTATCAAGAGCCTAATGGTGTCCACAAAACACGCTGATGAAAAATATTTACCTGTTTTCCCCTAGGTACCATAAATACTGCATTTTGATAGTTTTCCCAAGATAGTTAAGAGATGGGCCCAGCCTAGCCCCATCCTCCTTGTACCCAAGCATACTATCCAGGGGACTGGGGATCACCCAGCCCAGTCTACGACTACTGGCACCTAGGTTGGGCCCACTAAATCTGCCACTATCATCCCACCTGGCACCCATCCATGTGTACTACCTTTGTACTTGGGGACCGGCCTGCTCAGCCCATCACAGCCAACGTGGAACACATGAGTCCTAGAGGGTTTTCCCACCTCTGCTATTGCCATTGCCCAGGCCATGGCTGCTGCCCAGTGGCCCAAGAAGCTGTCGAACCACTCAACCACTGCTGCCATTACTGGTACCCAAGCAAGCCACTTGGAGGCACAAGAATAGGCCTGCTAACACCAGTGCCGGCGTACACTGCTCTGGGATGCAATGACAGGCACGTGCAGCTCACTACTGCCACCACTGAGGCTTGAAGACTGGCCCACCTGGCATCGCAGATTCTAGCAAAACTTCACCACAGCCTCCACTAATAACCACACCCTAAGCCACCAAGAAAATCACAGACACCACTGATGCTATTTATAGCCGAAGATCATACAGTGACTACACTACTGCATGCGCCCAGAATCAAAGCCAAAATGCCATATCCAGTCAACACCACACATGTATCTTCAGGAAAAAGTCCTCCCTTAAGAAGACAAATGGAAAAAACTGGAAAAAGTGACTGTTACGCCAACTGTGCCCATATCAACTTAAGGACACAGGAAACAGGAAAAGCAAGGAAATGACACACCAAGGGAACATAATAATTCTCCAGTGATCCCTATCAAAATGAAATTTAAAAATCCCTGGAAAAAGAATTCAAAATATTTATATTAAAGAAGCTCAGCGAGATACAACACAATACTGAAAAATACAAGGAAATCAGAAGAACAATTCAGGGTATGAACGATGAATTTACCAAAGACATCATCAAAAACAATCAATCAGAAATTCTGGAACTAAAGAATTTATTGAATGAAATACAAAATACATTCAAAAACTTCGACAATAGATTAGATGAAGCAAAAGAAATAATTTTAGAACTTGAAGATGGGTTTTTGAAATAACCCAGTAAAATAAGAATAAAGAGAAAAGAATAAAAAAGAATGAGCAAAACCTAAGTGACATATCGGACACCATAAAACAACCCAATATATAAATTTTCAGAGTCTCAGAAGGTAAAGAGAAAATTAAAGGGTTAGAAAACCTATTTAACAAAATAATATATAAAAACTTCCCAAGTCTAGTAAAAGACTTAGAAACCTAGATATAGGAGGCTCCGGGATCCCAAATAGATACAATTTACAAAGGTCTTCTCCATGGTACATGAGTCAAAATGTCAAACATCAAAGACAAAGAGGGAATTCTACAAACGGCAAGGGAAAAGCATCCAGTCATTTTAAAGGAACCCCCAACAGACAAACAGTGAATTTCTCACCAGAAACTTTACAAGCCAGCAGAGAATGGAATGATACATTCAAAGTGCTGAAAGAAATAGACTGCCATTCAAGGATACTATACTCAGAAAAGTTACCCTTCATAAATATAGGAGAAATAAAGTCTTTACCAGACAAGCAAAAGCTGAGCCAACTCATTATCACTACTCCAGGCCTACAAGAAATGCTTAAGGGAGTCCTACACCTGAAAAAGAAAGATACCTGCAATCATGAAAACATGGAAGTATTAAAACCACTGGTAAAGCAAACAAAGAAACAAGGAAAAGACTCAAATGTTACCATAACAGAAAACAACCAAAACAGAAGTATAAACAATCAGAGAGAAAGAAAGAAACAACCAGAAATCAATTAATAAAATGACAGGAATAAGCCTTCACATATCAATAATAACCTTGAATATAAACAGATTAAACTTTCCACTTAAAAGAAATAAACTGGCTGAATGGATAAAAGATAAAAATGACCCAACTATATGCTGCCTGTAAGAAACTCCACTTAAGGACATATACAGATTGAAAGTTAAGAGACAGAAAACATTCCTCAAGCAAAAGGAAACCAAAAGCGAGTAGGAATAGCTATCCTTATATCAGATATAACAGACTTTAAGTCAAAAACAGCAAAAAGAAATAAACAATGTTATTATATAATGATAAAGGGATCAATTCAGCAAGAGGATGTAACAATTTCAAACATATATGCACCCAACACCAGAGCACCCAAATATATAAAGCAAATATTATCAGATTAATGGAAGAGATAAACTCTACTACAATAACAGACCTCAACACCCCACTGTCAGCATTAGGCAGATCATTTACACAGAAAATTAACACAGAAACCTTGGATTTACACTGAACATTAAACCAAATAGACCCAACAGACATTTACAGAACATTTCATCTAACAGTTACAGAATACACATTCTTCTTATCACCACATGGAACATTCTTCAGGATAAAACATATGTTGGAACACAAAACAAATCTTAACAAATTTTAAAAAATTTAAATCATGTCAAATATCTTCTTAGACCATAATGGAATAAAGCTAGAAGTCAATAATAAAAAGAGGAACTTTGGAAACTGTACAATACATGGGAATTAAATAATATACTCCCGAATGACTGTTAGGTCAAGGAAGAAATTAAGGAGGAAATGAAAAAATTTCTTAAAACAAATGAAGATGAAAACACAATATATCAAAACCTAAGCAATACAGCAAAAGGAGTTCTAAGAGGAAAACTTATAGCAATAAATTCCTGTATCAAAAAACTAGAAAGATTCCAAATGCACACTCTAACAATGCACCTCAAGGAACTCGAAAAGGAGAAACAAACCAAGCTAAAATTAAGGAAAAAGATAATAAAGATCAGAGCAGAATTAAAAGAAATAGAGACTAAAAAAACAAACAAAAAAAAGATAGGAACGAGAAAACAAAATGTTGATTTTATTAAAAGATAAACAAAATCAATAAACCACTTGCTAGACAAACCAAGAAAAAAGTAAAAGCCCAAATAAACAAAATCAGAAATAAAAGACATTACAACTAATACCACAGAAATACAAAAGATCATCACAGACTACTATGAACAATTATATACTTAGAACCTGGAAAACCTAGAGAAAAGGGATAAATTCCTGTATGCACAGAATCTCCAAAGACTGAAATCAGAAGAAACAGAAAACCTAATCATTTATGCATAATGATATTGAATCAGCAATGAAATGTCCCCCAATAAAGACCAGACTAGATGGCTTTACTGCTGAATTCTACAAAACTTTCAACAAAGAATTAACACCAATTTCCCTCAAACTATTTCAAAAATTTAAGAGGAGGGAATTCTCCCAAGCACATTCTACGAGGCCAGCAGTACCGGAAATGATATGTCTGATACTGTCTTCACAATAACCCAGTGGGGGCTGGAGGAAGTGGTATCCATGAGTTGATGATTGTTGAATTAGGGTGGGTACACAGGGATTCACTGTACTGTGTTTCTTACCTGTATGATGTTTAAAGTTTTCCATAATAGTAAGTTTAAAAATACATAAATAAATGGCAGGAGAAATTAAAAAAAAGAAGACATTATTCTCTTCCAGAAATACGGATTGTTGATCCCACAATGATAACAATCACTGCCTGAGAGCCGAACTTACCAGCTATAAGTAAGGAAGAATCTACAGAAAAAGAAGGGGGAAAACAAAGAATTACAAAAATAAAAATTTTAAAAAGTCATTGATTTGCTTAGCAATTTAATATAACATCAATAAGCTACACTTGAAATCTCCAAAGCAACTCAAATTTCCGTAAATCAAAGAATTGTAAATAAATTTATGAAAATAACTACACATTATCTTAATCAAATAAAAACACCAGCGTCTGTATCTGTTCAACAGAATCAACATTATAAACATAAATTATAATAAAGAGTTACGGAATGCCAAAACAAACACCATCTAAATTTGGTTGTATGACTTGATTGCAAGAAAGAAGTTTCAAAAGCTTAAATAGTCAATAACTGCAGATTCAATCCTACTACCAAGAAACTGTAAGAAACCCAAGTCCCTTTCAGCAGACTATCAAAACTCAAAATTACCATATCATCTTATTATTTATATCTTTCAATGATTATGGATGAGGCACTATAAAATAAACTTCACTTTCAAATAAGCACATTCATAATAAATAAGCTGCTCTCAAGTGAGGTGAATAAATTTTCTTAGAACAGGCAATATTACACAGCAGAAAAAGCACAGGATGTGGAGTCGACCAATATGTGTTTAAATTTCCCAATTAACTATGCACTGGATGTGAACTGTGCAAGTTACTCTCTAAGCCTCTAATTATTCATCTATAAAATGAAACTAAATATACTTATTTTGCAAGGTTGTTGTAGGGACTAGTGTCAACAAATAGACGGTACAGGGTATATGCCACTATAGTACATACCCAATAAGTGGTAACTACTATAATGTCTCAAAAAATGCTAAATATGCTATATTATATTGTGCCCTGACAGAATAAATTAATTTTATATAAGAGCAAAATTTGATATACTTATTATAGTTACTATATATTTGTATTATTTTATTATATAATTATATTTATTATATTTTTATCATACTAATTGACTCATTAGGTTTAAATCTGTTAAATTATCTTGTACTTTTCACAGAAAGACCTATTTCAATAATTAGGTCTACAACAAATTTATATAAAGTGAAATTTATTTCTCCTTGCCTTGCCTTATTAAAATTTGGATATATACAATCCAAAAATTTTAGACCCAGAGATGTCATAAAATTTTAAGAGGTCAAAACTCCATATAAGGGTTAAAGTTAGTGAACTAAATCTAAATGAATCAATATGAACCACAAAACCAATGTTGAGTGCTAAAAATTAGATGATGAAACACATGATAGACTGTTTATGTAAATTATAAAGAATATAAAACAATATTATAAACTACTTATGGATACATACATGTAGTATGAGAATGAAAACATAGATAGGTAAGTAAGCTCACCAGCCTCAGGGCAGTAATTGTCTTAGTGGGAAAAATTGGGGGTAGGGAAAGGTACAAGGGAACTTTAACAATAATATCTGTAATGCTTAAATTCTTAAAAATATGTAGGTAATGGCAAAATAGGCTTCAAGATAACACCTATAGGAAATCCTTAAAAAATATGGTTATAAAGTATAAAAATATAGTTAAAAAACTATTTGACACCACTGGAAAGTGCCCCAAAGCAAGCAGGAATTGAAGTTCCCCTTTTAAAGAGGGAACTAAACGGGGTGTGTAGGCAGGGTTTCGACATGCACACATGCAGTGAAGGGCCCTCCCTAGGCCACGTGGTGCGGGTAGCAGAGAGCCCCAGTCTCCAGCTGGCAAGGTCACAGGATGGAGCTCAGGCCTGACAGAGCATCTGGAGAATAAGGGGGCAAATCTGAGGGGTTGGTAATGCTATATTTCTTGACATTTGTGGTAGTTAACACAAATAGTTGCTTTAGAAAAGTCACTGAACCGTACATTTATTTTTTAGGCAGTTTTCTACTTATGTGTTGACTTCAATTTAAAAGTTAAAACAATTTAAAAAAAATTATCTCCTGGCTCAGTCCTGTTGATTATTTTCTAAGAAAGATAAAATAACAAATAGTCTCCATTAGAGCAAGAATGTCTATAAAAATGGTTCTATATTAGGCAAGTCATGAGGCAAGAAGTCATACTGCTGGCCTGAAGCAGCATCGATTAGTAAGACACGTTTCTCTCATTCATTTAGCAGGTATTCTGAAGCCTAACGCATACTTTACTTTCACAAAATTGTCATTTGTAGAGCCTTGTAATAACACAAATTATTTGAAAGAATTGCTGTATTTTCAATTGCTTAGAACATACTGCTGAGATGCTTTACCGAATTAGCAACTTCAGGGAATCTGCAGAGATCCCTTAACATGCTCTGAGGGATGGGTCTCTGTCAACGAACCAGACACCCAGGACTCAGCCTCAAGGATGGTACATATTTGGATCTTCAAAGAGGTCTTGACAAATTCAATGACTCCCTAACACTAGTATAGAAAACAATTTCTCCATCAACCTTAATTTGATACTGTTTTTCAGTGGGGCCACAATCTTTTTCTCTGTTATTGTAAATGATTTCTTTTTAAGGATTTTCCCTAGCACAATCTAAGTCTGCCTCGGAAGAAAGTCAAAAGCATTAGTATGAAAAACCCTGGCTACAAGAAACAGAGACTATTTAATTTTACGAACTTGGTCAAGTTCATATTTCCACCACAGCAAATGAGATCCACACTCAGGAAACCTGAACAGTGTCAACTGACCTGAAGGGATCATTCCTTCTTTTGGTATACTTGTTGCATGAGAACGCGTGGTTGTCCTGGAAAGAAGTTCACCCTGGGTTGCTGTAATATGAACAGAAGTGAATCTTTGTATAATCTGGAGACCCTTAGTCACTGGGACATGTACAATGGTAGACTTTTGTGCTGCTGGAAGACTCTGTGTAAGTGAACCCTTTGCTGTGGTGAATCTGTGGGCTGTTGGTGTGGCCAGTGTAGCAGAAGCATCAGTCATGATGGGATTCTGAGCTGCTGGTAGAGCCTTTGTAGATAGGGTATTTGATGTGAGAGATGTCTGGGTTGTTGCTGGGGCCTTTGTGGCGGAATTATTTGCTGTGGTAGGTCTCTGAGGAGTTTGTGAGGCTCCGGTAGCTGGAACATTTACTGTGGTGGGTCTCTGAGGAGTTGGTGTAACTCCTGTAGCTGAAACATTTACTGTGGTACTTTTCTGAGGAGTTGGTGTGACTCCTGTAGCTGGAACGTTTACTGTGGTGGGTTTCTGAGGAGTTGGTGTGACTCCTGTAGCTGGAACATTTACTGTGGTAGGTTTCTGAGGAGGCGGTGAGACTCCTGTAGCTGGAACGTTTACTATGGTGGGTTTCTGAGGAGTTGGTCTAACTCCTGTAGCTGGAACGTGTTCTGTGGTACGTTTCTGAGGAGTTGGTGAAACTCCTATAGCTGGAACGTGTACTGTGGTATGTTTCTGAGGAGTTGGTATAACTCCTGTAGCTGGAACATGTACTGTGGTACGTTTCTGAGGAGTTGGTGAGACTCCTGTAACTGGAACGTTTACCGTGGTGCGTTTTTGAAGAATTAATGGGGCTTCTGTACCTCGAGCTTTTGAGGGTTTCCAAGAAGTTGCTGTGAGTTTTGTACTTTGAACTGTGGTGGGTTTGTGAGAAGTTGGTGTACCTGGAACATTTGCAGTGGTAGGTTTAGAAACTGGTGGGGACGTGGCAGGTGGAGATCTTCCTGTGGAGAAAAAATGTTGAAAAAAAATTAGCTAAATATTGCTGTCCAACTTAAGATTTTTTAGCCATTGCTTGCTCTATGGCTATTGTCTTTCCCTCTGCATAAATACCTAGATATGACTTTTAAGAAGCCAAGTCTTACTGCATATTTCCCAAGGAGCTGAAATGCTACATTGCTTTTCATTTGATATAAATTATACCTATAGGTGACTAAAGCAGAGTTATGTCGAAGTAGTACTGAGGTTCTTAAGCTGTTTTCTTGAGAAAAAAGGAAACCAAAGTTGGAGTCAGAGGATCTTATTCTGTGCCACATCTCTCCTTCTTTTCTCTTCCAAATTGCCTGCGTTCGCTCGTGCCGAGACCAACGAAAAACAGGATGCAATCATTGGACCAACAGAGATAATCACAGCATAGTTACTTTTCCCACTGCTTTCAGGACATGTTAGTGAGCTTGAGAGCTTGTTGTGTTGTACTCCTTTTTAAAAGTAATACGTCAGTCGGAATAAAAATCACTCCCTTTTCTCCTGTGCTAGTTCTCAACTTTACATATGTTAGGTTAGATCCTCTTTAGATTTCAGGTTAGATAACCATTAATGTCAAACTTCCATTAAGAACATATTCTGAGAATAACAAATCTACTGACACAGCACTGTTCCAGTCTTCAGAGCCAGTTCGTCTTTGGGTCGCTGATACAAGGTCTGTTAAGGCAGTTATTAAGCAGTGCTGAACCCTAGTTTCACCACCTCCTAGTGACCTTGCGCAAGTTCTCTAATCCCTCTAAACTTTACTTTTCTCATCTGTAAAATGAGGATGAAAACAGGGCAGATAGCATAGCATTATTGTAAGGTTTAAGGAAATAATTTAGTAAGTTTTTCACAGTGTCTGTCCCTGAAGCCACAGGTTGTACCATCCAGTACTCCTGCTGCCAGTCCCATCACACACATCGCGCCCTCGTTTATGTACACACGCCGATGGCACATGTCATTTGTTTCTGCTTCCTCACCTGTCTCACAGGATGCTGTAAGGAATAACTCCAGTAAAACACCTACCAGGTAACGTGGCACTTAGCAGGCACTCAAAACAAGATAGATATTCTTACTAGGGAAAGTGAAGTTTTTGTATGGACTTTTCATTCTAAGGCCCTCATATATTCTTTGTTCTACCAAGTTAGTTCTCATTTTTGATCCAGAGAATTTATATACTACCATAGAGTTTAAATTTAGACCTCAGTGAATGGTCAAATTTGGTAAGTGTCCCATGTGTACTTGAACCTTGCCTTCTGTCATTCTGAGGTTCAGTGCTCTTATATGTAATTCATTTAATTGTTGCACAGACCTTCTATGTTCTTAGTAAAGTTTAGTTGCTTGTTCTATTAGCTATTGAGATACATGTGGAATTCTCCAACTATGAATGAGAATTTGTCTATTTTTCTTTCTGTTCATTTTTGATACATATAGATTGAAGCTATTTTATCAAGTGTATACAGATTTTAGCTTGTGATATCTTCCTGTTTGGGTTGGCCACGTTATCATTGTAAACTGTTTAAGGTCAAAATATACATTGACATTAATATAACTGCACAAGTTTATTTTGGGGGGTAATGTATGCATGAGGTATTTCTCCATTCTTTACTTTCGACTATTCTGTATTCTTATAATCAAACTGTGTCTCTTGTAAATAGTAAATATGCTTTCTTTTTAAATCTAGTATGACAGTCTTAGTCGAATTACACTTGATACAATTACTGATACAGTGGGGTTTTATAGCAACCAGCTATTTAATGAGTTTTCTGCTCCACCCATCTATTTCATGTTCCTTTGTGTTTCTCTTCCTCTCTTGTTCTTTTTTGGATTAAACATTCATTATGATTTCTTTATTAGCTTGTGATTTATGCATTCTTTTACCATTCTTTTGTGGCAACCCTAGAGATTACAATATGTACTAGACTGTAAGTCAGTTATGAAAATTTCACTTTTACCACTTTTTTAACACTGCTAGAATCTTATAACTTCTACACTGAGTTTACCTCTTTCTGCCTTTTGCTTTATTACTATGGTGCATTTGTATTCGAAATATAGTTCAAACCCAAAAGACATCACATTCCTTGTTCTGTAAACCCAGTGTTCATATACCCTTGACACTGTTCTTCATTTCCTCTTGCATTTTTGTGTTTTTGTTCTACCTGGCATTATTTTCACTCTACTTGAAGAATTTCCTGTAGTTTTTCACTCTGTAAAGGTCTGGCCTGCTTGTGACAAAGCTCCCTCAGTTTTGTCCGAATACATCTTTATTTTGCATTCAGTTTTGAAGAATATATTCATTGGATATAGAATCCTGGATGAGCAGTAATTTTCTAACAGTATTTTAAAGGCTTCTTTTTCTCTTTTGGTTTGGACCATTTTTTTGTTGAGAAAGTGATCAGTTTTACTGTTGCTCCTATGATGGTTTTTTTGCCTGTTTGTTTATTTTTAATCTCTGAGTAACCCTATCATTGTTTGAGTTATCAAAGGTTTCCTATGGGGCACCTTGAAGTGGTTTGTTTCTTTTCTGCTTAGAGTCACAGAGCTCTTGAATTTGTTGGCCGATATATTTCACCAGGTTTGGAAAACTGTCAGTCATTATCTTTTTGAATATTTCTTCTGCTCCTATTTCTCTTTTCTCCTCCTCTTCCTCCCCCTCTTTCTTGTCATTTCTCACCTTCTTTCTCCTCCCTTTCTAACATGTGTTACAACAGTTTAACATGTCTTAAATGTCTCAAACTCTTTCCTGTATTTTACATTTTTTTTCACTTTCTGCTTCACCTTGGACATTTTTAATTAACCTGTCTTCCAGTTCGTAATACTGCTTCCACTGTGTCCAAGTCACTGTGAAACCTATCTATTGTGTTCTTAATTTCAGATATTTTCTGGTGATGTGTTAGTCATTTTACTCCATTTTTATAGATTCCTATTCTCTGCTGAGGTTCTCTAAATTTTCTTTTATTATCTTAAACATATTAATCACTTATTTTAAAGTCCTTGTCAGCTAACTCAATTATCTGGATCTTCTTTATTTGATTCGGTTTTCTCTTGATTTGGTCATATTTTCTTGCTTCTTTCCATATCTAATAGTTTTTGATTGTATGCCATTGTATATAAACATCCAGATGGTACCATAAGATATGCTTTCCTGATAGGCAAACTGTATTGAGATGACCATCTCTTCAACCTGTCAGGGATTGAGCTGGGTTACAGTTTTAGTAAGATTCAAGCTACCTCTGCTCTTGCCTATGTTCCTTGGGAGTGGCCCTTCTGGGCTTTGGATTGAGAGCCTGATGGACCTCTGTTGCCTCAGCCCTGAAAGACTGTAGGAGACCCAGGTCTGTGCTTCAGAGTTCCCCTAGCCCGGCCATCCTGCACCTTCCCCACACAGCGTCAGAATGAGCACAGGTGTCCTAAGGAGGAGTGTGGATGTGTGCTCCGTACAGGCCTGTTCCTCTGATGGGCACTTGCTGTCCAAATACCACCAGGTTCTGAGAGATCTTACTGGACATGTTAGAATCATTGGATCCAGCTTCCTAGGCTCACATGCAGCTCTAGAAATCAGCTAATGGCCAGTGGAAAAAATTGGCTTTGCATGTGAGGACCTCAATTTCCAGTGTACTACTCTAGCCCTGCACAACCATTAAAAGCTTTGCTGGTTTCTCTCTTTCCTGGAAGTGGTCTTTTTGTCTGGGTCAAGATGTATCCTTAATCCAGGTTCAGAATCTGAAATGTCCCCAGGGAAAAATACAACTGACTCAGCTCAGAGTGGCTTGCCTTCATTCCCTAGCCCCAGCAATTTTACTTCATTCAGACCTAGTTGTTTCCACAGCTGTATCTTATGCCTTTAAAAATATGATTTTTTAAAAGTATATTCAGATTTTATAGCTATTTTAATGGAAGTATTACCTGCCGTGACCTACTTGGGCACTACCGTATAGTTTTAAGATCTAAATAACTGACAATTTAATGACTAGAGAAAATAAATACAAAGTGGATCAAATAAATTGCCTAATTAAAAACACATAAAACACCAAACTTTATCATAATGAAGTGAGTTTAAACAATAAAATTTTCACCACTTACATTGCCAAATCTCCATATCATAATAATCATTATCATCAAAGGTACAGACAAATAGCGCAATGATTTAATATTAGTCGGAGAGTAAACTGGTAAAGTCTCTTTGAAAACAATGTTGCTAGTAACTATGAAAAATGTAAATGGGCTGGGTGGTTGCTCATGGCTATAATTCTAACACTTTGGGAGGCCGAGGCGAGAAGATCGCTTGAGGCCAGGAATTCCAGACCATGCTGAGCAACACAGCAAGACCCTGTTTCTACAAAAAGTATAAAGATTAGCTGGGCGTGGTAGTGCGTGCCTGAAGTCCCAGCTGCTCAGGAGGCTGAGGCAGGAGGATCGCTTGAGCCCAGGAGTTTGAGGTTGCAGTGAGCTATGATGACGCCACTGCACTCTTGGCCGGGAAACAGAGTGAGACCCTGTCTCAAAAAAAAAAAAAAATGCATTTACCTTTGCTATGGTAATTACACTACAAGGAATTAATTGTACAAATGTACTTTCACAGGTGTGCAAAGACAGATGTACAATATTTATTGTAGCATCATTTGTAACAATCTATAAAAATCGAACTAGAAAAACCTAAATTCCCAAAGAAGACAAGTTAAATAACTATTATATCCATTCAATTGCTATCATAAAAGAATTATGTGTGTTTATTTATAATCTAGAATAAAACACAAGTATTCATAAAAAATAGTCATTTTTGAGAGTAGGACTAGTGATAGAGATTTTCACTTCTCGTTTTATACACATTTACATGGTTTTAATATTATATCACCATATGTATGAACATTTATAGTAAACTTAATAAGAAATTTTTAAAAATTCATGCTAATAGAATTTTAATTATAATTATAAAAGTAGTATCATACTTTTGAGACATGTTGGCATTCATCACTACTTAAACATATGCCACCTAGTGGTACTATGCAATGTTTAATCTAGCTGCACTGATCTTTTAAGTATCTTTTTTGAAATATATCTAAAAAGCAGTTCTAAGGATTCTGAGAGTACAGACCGGGTATAAAGAGATGTTGAGGAAAAAGGTCTAGAAGGATAAAGCAGAGGCAATGATCAATAATACAGAGAAATTCTGGAGGCAGAAAATAATTGAATGCAATTCAATGACATCAACAGCTAGGCAAGAGTTTCTCAGTTGTCACAACATGTGTATCACTACCCTAGAGCCCTCAGTTGAATCTAAGATTCCTCCTCTAATTTAATAAGTCACTTCATACACTCTTCTTATAAACAAAGAGCTATCTATATTAACTTACTGAAAGTAACGTGGTATGAAACAGCAAATTTAAGCTAATTTCATAAAAATGAGATATTTTACATATGTATGTCACATATATCTGTGTGTATATATGCCACAGACCCCCTCTGAGAATCTGATGAAAAACTGACCCCACGGAAAAATGCAAATGTGCAGATGTCAAACATTTTTACATTCATTTCTCAGGGAGCTCACAGAATCTGTAGCCCCTATAAGGGTAAGAATAAAGCAAAAATATGACTGTACAAAACACGATTACCTCGGCATTGAGGTGCTGGGCCACTCCATTCTCCTTCATCGCCTCTTGCAGAACAGTGAATAGTGTCCTCTCCAATCAGGGTAAAGCCTCTATTACACGCATACATTACAGCTTGACTGTATACATATTGTTCACGTTCTCCTCGAACTATTCTTCCGTTCTCAATTTTTGGTGGTTCTTGACAATAAATTTCTTTAAAAAAAAATTCCAACATCTTTTAAACAAATAAAATTGGTAAGCAATGTTTTACAAACAAGACTAAAACATGTTAATGATTTTATCTTAAAAAAATCAAAATCGGCTGGGCGCGGTGGCTCACGCCTGTAATCCTAGCGCTCTGGGAGGCCGAGGCGGGTGGATTGTTTGAGCTCAGGAGTTCGAAACCAGCCTGAGCAAGAGCGAGACCCCGTCTCTACTAAAAAAAATAGAAAGAAATTATCTGAACAACTAAAAATATATAGAAAAAATTAGCTGGGCATGGTGGCACATGCCTGTAGTCCCAGCTACGCGGGAGGCTGAGGCAGTAGGATTGCTTGAGCCCAGGAGTTTGAGGTTGCTGTGAGCTAGGCTGACGCCACGGCACTCACTCTAGCCCGGGCAAAAGAGTGAGACTCTGTCTCAAAAAAAAAAAAAAAAAAAAATCAAAATCTACCATTTTTTTAAATTCAGCATTATCAACAAGGGATGCTTATAAATGCCTAGGAAGTAACTGGTAGTATATTTGAAGCTTTGAATGCAAATGTTATAGAACATGAATGCTAACCTTGAGACCAATTAATTCATAGCAAGAAGATTTAGAACATGTATAGAAAACAAAAATTACAACATGTTACATATCAAAATGGTGCTAGAAAATAAAATACTGCGGGAGTTTAGAGGCAAAAGTAGACCTGTTAGAGAGACTTTAGGGAGGAAGTGGTTTTAAACTTGAGTTTAAATCTAAGATGCACCATTCTTTTGACAGAGAACAGACAAGAGGACATTGTTCTTCATTCCCAGGGGGAATGATGCAAATGAAAGGAGTTGGGAATTGGAGTGGCATGCTGGAGAAATCTATACAGAATGTTTTGGATATAGCAAAGATCTTAAATGTCAAAATTACATTTTGACTTCTAGAGTAACATTTTTCAGCACATATTGACTCAAAGAGACTTTTATACAAACAAAATCTTACCAAACAGCTGAATTTCTAAAATAAACACAAACAAATTATGCTCTAGTTATATTGTAAAAATAGACCCCTCCCTGGTAGTTGCCCTGAGAAAAAATTCAATGGTTCCAAATTCTGCAGACTCATGAAGTTGTTTTTTCTTAAGAAGGAATGCAATGTAATCACATATGTACGCCAAATTATATTACACCAAATGTACGTTAAGTACCAAGAGAATACTAGCAAATTTATAAATTACTCTTAGGCCTTTGATAAAAATAAGGAGCTATTATGATTTATACCAAGTCAGAGTGTGCAGGACTGTACACATACCATCAGTCCAGAGCAAACACTGTCTGAGCACCTAATACACACCAGGCATTGTTTTATAAATGTAAGTACAAAATTGAACAAGATATAGCTCCTATCTTAAAATTCAGTGGGGAAAGAGATTCAAGGAGACAATTTCAATACAAATGTGAGGGTTATCACAGAAGTAACCAGCCTGGAAACCTTCCTAAAAGACTAGAACTCACTCTTAATGAGGAAAACAGCCAAGTGAAAAGGGGGCTGAAAAGCATTCCAGGCAGACGCAGCAACAGAAGGAATGATGCAGGGGCATGCAGAAGCATGAGGCACATGGAAAACAATAAGCCGTTTGCACAGATAAAGCATAAACCGTGATTGCGGAATAGTAGGTAGACCATGCTGCCTTGTAGAATATACTGAAGAGTTTTGACTTAGTAAGTGATGGGAGATACTAATAAGCTTTAAGAAGGAAAGAGACAAGTTATATCGTATTTCAGATAGATCACTCTGGGTAAAATATGAATAAAACCTTAACAGAGTGAAAGAATGAGGCCATTGGCTCAGTATCACCCTCGAACACAGGCAGCTAAGACTCCTTCCGCAGGCCCCACAGTTTAAAAGGCTGTGCTCTGGCTCTGCCTTGGGTGTGTCTTCCCCAGTAGATGGGGTATCTGTAGGGCTGAGAGGATATGTTCAATGAGAGCCCATCTTACCACCCCTCCCTCCATTCTAGAATATGCTCCAGGATCTAGCACCCAGAATTCCCTGTGCCAATACCCCTTCCAGTACCTGAGAGGTCCATTCCCCAGGTCCATGTTATTGAGGGTGGTCTATACTGCTTATATACTCACCTCCAACCCAAAGGACAATGGAGTTGGGTAGGGGTCATGGAGGACGTGGTGCACATGACTTGGCTATGTAGGCAGAGTTGTCCACTTACATGTAGCAGAGACCCCTCACAGTGTGGGAAGAGGGAAGGCTATTTGAGGGAGGATGGGTCATTTATACTCTTGTGTGGGCCCTAAAATGTTAGGAGTGGCCCTGATTGCAATAGTCCAGATGGGGAATGATAAACTATGTTAGAAGTATACAGATGGAGGGTAAAACATAGGTTTCAAAAATGTATTGAGGAGGTAAAGCAAAATGAATTAGTGATTACGCGTGGGGAATCAAGATAAAGAGAGGGGTCTGGGATGATGGTCCTTATATACCAGGAAGTGATTCCAGCCTAGCAGGTACCAGCAGTCCACTGAAAGTAATTTTGAGAAAGAACATTGGTAGACAAATGAGAAAATGGGTCCTTCTGATAGTGAGGCTTCATTCAGAGGTGAACAGGCACCACCTCTGTTTGATGTATAACTAGGGACAATTCTCGAATGTGCTCATTGTTCTTTCCTTCTTCATAGCCACATCTTCATATCCATACTCACACATGAACATCAGTGCAACTTCAAGTGCTTATAGGCCAGGGCTGCATACTTGAGGTAAAGTGGCTCGTTACAAATTTACTTTCTACTCAATCTTTTTGGTATGACCAAAACAAAAACTAAGTTTCGTGGAAAATCAAAAGTAGACCCTAAAAGAAGTAGGGCTTTCTAGGGACAGTTGAAGACACTGGGGTTGCTTCAGAAAAGGGGCTCTTTCCTGCAGAATGCAGGAAATGTCCGTGGTTGCTGAGTTGGAGAGATGGATAGAAGAGTTTAGGAGGAAAATATGAACATCAGGACATTCACCATGGAGTTCAAGACACCAAACAGGGAGTAAAGCTGTGGCCTAGACGTAGACAAGCACAAAAACACAGTGGGTTTGCAGTGCAAAAGCTCTTTTGTGCTAAAATATACACTGGTGTCCACATTCCTATGAATTCATGACACCAGCTGCTGGTGAAAATACTGGCCTCACGTGGGAGACTGCTTATGTGGACCTTGTGACATGTTTCCTGGGCCAAAAATATGGTCCGGCTCCTCCTTGCTTTCCATCTTTAATTTACTATCATTGATAATGTCTTTTACTGGATGGTGGAAATGGAAACGGCAGTAGTGGGTAGGAATGGTGACAATTTAAAAACAACCATAACGAGAAAAAAGGAGAAGCAGTAGTAGATCTAGAAGGGTGGGGCACATGGTGGGTGTGACAGCAGCAGCCTCCTTGATGGCAAGGTTCATTTTATTTGCCTTCATATCAGTTAACCACAAATGATGCCTATTGCACATGTCAATCAATAAATGCTTGACAAATTACCCTAACACTACTCAAGTTTCCTACTCCTAGTAACACAAAAAACTTGAACTTACGAATAATTTTGACAACAGGGTTTTCAGAAGTCATTTGCAGAAAGGTAAGTTGAGTGAAAAGAAAAAAGGATGGAAGACATAAACCTACATTTAGAAGTCTTGCATGTTTTTTCTCTTCTCCATTTTCAGGAGACATGTGTCTCTAATGGAAATAAATTTGACTGGATATATCCATTTATGATATTATTTCTGTGTCCTATCTTTCTTTGAGAAGTTAAGATTCTTGAGTGCAGAAACCGTATTTCTTTTTTATTGTATAGCCTTACTACTCTAACGAAAAAAATACATCATACTTAAAACACTTCTAGATAATTATCTCAGTTAGTAATTATCATCCTAAGAAGAGACATGTAGATAACACTGGGTCTTAGAAAAATGACGGGTTTGAAGTAAGAATCCTAGCTTAAACATATTCTATTGCCATATTATTTTAGCATGTGGGGTCAATGTCTCAATGATAGTGTTTTCTTCCAAAAAATTGTGGTGGGAATCCCCTATGTAACTTACTTGACTTTAGAAAGAATGGTTAGATAATCAATGACCAAGCACAATACAAACCTAACTTTGTTTCAGTTTTCATCCTATAGTTAAGGATATGGGGGCTAAGAAAAGATTAATCATTTATCTCCATAGCTAATACCTTAAGGAACACCACTATAAAAGGTCTTTAAATTAGCAAAGACACTCACACATTGAAAAGTGAGGGTGTTACAAATATATACTGTGGATAATTCTTAATTAGCAGAAAGTAATTTATTATTTATCATTCAGCCCCACAACCTGAGTGCTTAGATTTTTAAAAACTCTTACCTCTGCAAACTGGAAGTTGTTCAGTCCACCCAACATTGTCACCCATAATAACACAGAGACTAGATTTTTCACCGATTAGTTTGTACCTAAAGCAATAGGGACAGAAAAAGAGTGTGTTACATTCACACGTTTGACTTTCCTCCAATTCTTCAGAATATTATCTTAAAATATTACTGAAGGAGTAGATGGATACAAAAGAATAGCTGATACAAGCCCATATATCAATTTAAAGGAAAAGAAAAAATTAAGTTTAAGAAGGTGACAACCAAAGGGTAAAACAGTAGAACAATTTTTTATGTGCATGGGGCATATGTTGGAAAATATAAAAGTGTTTGAAAACATTGTTAAATGATATAGATGATTGACTATTTTATATTTCTGAGTTCTAAAGGATTAATGCAGGCTTCATACAATAATAGAATATACTTATATCTAAAGGGTTCAGAGTACTTCCCAGATTGTGTGTGTGTGCGTGCATGCGTGCGTGTGTGTGTGTGTGTGTGTGTGTGTGTGTGTAGACGGTCTCACTATGTTGCTGAGGTTGGTCTTGAACTCCTGGCCTCAAGCAATCCTCCCAATTTGCCTCCCAAAGTCCTAGGATTATACCATGCCTAGCCTGATATTTTATGCTAATGACCCAATGACATCTGTGTTTACTCTTGGAGACTACTGATACTGCTATTTTTATTTTATAAAGACTAGGGACACACACAGAGTAAAACAGCATAATTCAATTTGTGTATATGAAATGAGAAAATAAATGTAAATGTTTGAACAGTGTCTGAGACATTGATGGTACTAAATGAGTTCCTTTTCCCTGCATAGAGAACTTATAAAAGAACTTAGGTTAGAATACTTTCTCACTAGGAATAAATGTCTTTGGTCTAAGACATTTCAGAACTTTGTTTGCATGTGGAATAACCTGGATGCAAATTCATTATTTAGGCCACTTCAAGATCGGTTTCATATTTAACACTTGAAGGATTATTTTGGCAAGTATCATCAACATATCAAATTTCTGTCTTTACCTGTAAAATTTTTTTTTCTATTTTTTTATTAAAGAAAAAAAAACCAGAGCAATACCTGTAAAATTTTATATTGAATCACATATGTACTGAAATCTAACAATTTAGAAAATTTGGTGGTCTCAGAAATCTTCCCTTCTTGTCCCATTTTACTAAATTTAACTGTGATGAGTTCATGACAAATGATCTGTGAGGAGAGGGGTTGTTTTTGCTGCTACCCGCTTGTGAATACCAGTCATGAAACTAACAATCTCCATCTTAAGTCCTAATTTGTTTTCTCTTTGTTAAATAAAGAGTTTTAGTATGCTAAAACTTACCCTGTATTACATGAGAAGTAGATGGTTGCACCAAATAAAAAGTCAGTTGTTCCATTGATGTGACCATTTATTAATTCTCCAGGGTTAGGACATGATTTTTCTAGACAAGAATACACATATTTTTTCATTAAATTATCAGGCACACAGACAAAAAGGTAACTATGTCAGGTAGTGGATATGTTAATTAGCTCGATTATGGTAATCATTTCACAATGTAAACATATATCAAAAATCATGCTGTATACCTTAAGTAATACAATTTTCATTTGTCAATTATACTTCAATAAAGCTGGAAAAAAGGTTTGAAAAGTTAGCAGGCACCTACATGCAAATTCATCATCTGAACCATTGAGATTTCCTATGCTTAGACTTCTTTATTTCTACCTTTGTAAGATTCAAAAAAAGCGACATATGAAGAATATATACTTATTTCATTTAGGGTAACCTCAAACTAATTACATGTGAAATTTGTGAGTGCATAAATATTTCTACCATATAAATAGTTTCTCGAATTTAAAATAAATTATCACAGTTCTTATAAGAATCATTTTAAATAATAACATATACACACAGAGTTCTAGCATGAACAAAGGAAGAGGTACTATTTACCCCAAACACCAAAGGATTGTGAATACTTTATTTGGGAGGCAGGGGACCAAGTTTCCATCACAGGGAATACTTTTAAAAATTATACTCACTCGTACAAAAGTCAGCTGGTTTGGACCATGTGAAATTCTGAAGGCAAGTTAGTGTTCCTGATAGACCAATGACCCTTCTGTACCCCAAACGGCACTCATATTCCACAGTGGACCCGACTGGAAAATAATTCTGGTTGCTATAAGGCCTTTTGAGCATTGCAAACCGTAGGTGGGGTGGAACATCACAGCTACCTAGAAGTATTAACAAAAGCAACAACAAAACAAGTAGTATCGCTCTTTATTTTATAATCTATGTTTAATTATCTGGAATAATCTTAACTTTAAATCATCCCCCTTTTTTTTTTTTTACTTCTTTGCACATATTTGGTATTTAACTATATATCACTATGGCATTTGCATGTATCAAATGTATTCACATGTATACTTTATTTCCTAGTTGCTAGAGGTCTGAGAAAAATATTTGGTAAACAGATGTGATTATCCCCACCTTTCAAAAAACATAACCCATTTAAGTTGCCTGGCACAGTTCTGGCATTCTACAAATGTTGGTTCCCTTATGTGCCCTAAGAAATTACGGAGCACTATAAGGTACGTGGATAGATGAGAATGGATATTTCCAAACCCCTGGACTAACGTCAAGAGCAACAGCAATAAGAGTAATAACAATAGCTAATTTTGTTGAATACATCTAAATGTTTTACACATAAACTTATTTAATCACCACGACAAGCCATGGGGACAAGGATCAGATGAGCCAATTGTGTACATAAAGTGTTTACAAACTGTAAACAGCCAAGCAAATGTGAATCTAGAAAGGTATGGTAGAGTGGAAGGGGCATTCAATTTGTAGTCAAAAGGCCCAAGTTTGAGCCTTGGTTCTTTGGCAGAAGAGCTCCTGATCTCGAGGAAGTTATTTACCTTCCAGGGACCTGTTTCCTCAACTGTAAAATCGGGATAAGAGTCCCTACTTTCCTTATGAGGTGGTTTGGAGGATTAGATAAAGTAAAATGTGGAAGAGTTATAAACTCTAAAACACATGATACATGTGTAAAGGCTTATGTACTTCGTCATACTGTCTCTATCATGCATAGATAAAAAGTTAAAGCCCATTTCACACATGGTTTCAAAAAGTATTTGTGGCAGTTTCTATACTTACTGTAGCTTCCGAGCTATTCAAAGGCAGGTATCAAGTCTTATCTTTTTTCTTAAGTCTTACCTTTATCTTTACTTGTATATCACAAAATTAATGGAGGACTATATGTATAATAGATTTTTTCCTCCAAGATAATGCTAACGTGTATTTTACTGAAGAAAAGGGGCCATGAGATGTGGATGACACAATGTGTATTTACCCAAACCAAGAAATCTTCATTGCTTTTATTTCCATTGACTATCTTAGTATTGAACACCATTACTGTGTTGACTCTAAAACAACTCTTCCCTGGGCCTCTCGCTCATTTTCTAAAATTTATATATATATTTCACAGCAATTGGAAGATGTGGGATGTTCTCAACACAAAGAAATGATAAATGTTTTAGGTGATGGATATCCTGATCACCCTGATTTGATCATTACACATTGTATATATGTGTCAAAATATCACATGCACCTCATAAATATGTACAATTATTCTAATAGATTTTGAAGTAAATATTAAGACCTTTTAAAAATGCCACTATAAAGTTGGATTTGGTAAGTCCTACTTTACAAAATGAAATTTAAGAAAACAGATCACCTATGTTACATGTCTCAAGGTAATTGCCAAATATGTTCATAATTTACTCTCTAAACAGTACCTTTTGTTTATTTTCTCTGTTAGCCTGTTCAGGAGATACACTATTAGGAAGAAAAACTCTTAATGAAGAAGCATGGGGTTCTCATGGAAGTAATGCCTTCGATTAACTGGAGTGTGATGGGCCAACATGGTATCCCCCCGAGCTTAATAAAGCTAGAAAACTATCAATTACCAATCGCTCCAAAGAGAGATAAAAATAAACTTAACAAGATACATTCCAATCCCACAATTTTTCTTTAAAAAAACAAGAACTTACGATTACAGAATTCTGAAATCTCTGACCATTGATCATTCTCAAGACAGATCACTGTGTCTGTCTGGCCAGGAATTTTTACAAAGTCTTCATTACATCTGTATGTTACTGTGCTATTCACAGGGAAACTTGAAAGACCTTTCAAGTCTGGGTGGGCATTAGGTACTTCTGAGGGAGGGCTGCAGTCACCTAGGCAGGAAAAAGCAGAACTGAAGGAAATACCTTTTTTAAATGCATAGCAACATCATTTCCCCAAGACTTAGAATACAGGAAGCAGCAATGGCTTTTGATAAACATATAGTATTTCCACCCAGCGCTGAACTGTCAAACATGGACAACATGCTAGGCTTCGTGTCTTGTCAAATAACTGAAGACTAAAAGAAGCCCAGAGTAAATAAACCTCTCCCTCTTCGTTATTAAAAGAAAAGTGGTTTAGAATTTATCCAGCGTCCACGTAGATATCTTTCCCAGGCACCCGCTAAGACAGACGACCCCTTGTTATGCTGCGCCTTAAGGAAATGACAGGAAAGCTGGTAGACCCACGTGTGGCACCTGACTGGACTCTGCTGACAGGCGGCAGTGGTCAGCTATTTGTCCTCCCACCCTTTAGACGAGCTTGTTGGGGGTTTGGGAATTCACTCTCTCTGAGCCCTCCCTTTTGCCTGTCCCAGGTTTGGCTGCCAGGCAAACTCAGCGCAGGCTTCCTTAACCCTCCACGCCCATCCCTAAAGCCGTGCCAGCTGGCTCCAGCACAGCAAGATCTCCCAAAAGCTGGCTGGCAGCGGAGCTTCTCTTCCGGTCCCAAAGAGTAGGAGCCCTGAGCCTTAAAGGTAGAGGATTTCGGCAACAATTACCGATGTCCACTTTCCTTACCTCCCAGGTCCCCAGCCCCTCTGCGTAGTCTCGGAGACCGACCTAAACCCTCCTAGTCCCCACAAACGGAGCCCAAGGGCTGAAAGAGCCGGCTGGGTCCCCGGGCCCCCACTCACCCCGTGCAGCTGGTGGCCACAGCAGCAGCAGGTACAGACCGCCAATGAGACACAGCACTGTTGGGGCGCTCGGCCGCGCGAGACTCATGGCGGGAACAGGGACCCGGCCCCGGGACTCCGCCTAGTTTGCTGCCAGAGGAAGCCAGCGGGAGCGAGCAGCTACGAGTAGCAGGACCGCGGAGTAGCGCTCTCCCAGGGCAGTTGTATTAACGCCCTGGGCGGGGCCGGGGCTCTGTGTTACCAACAGGGTGTGGCAAAGAGGAGGAGCGGAGGAGGGGTTTGTTGAAGTCAAAGATGGTGGGCGGGGCTCTCGCGTTACCCGCCCCCGGGGAACCCAGACTCGCGAAGACTGGTTCCGGGACCTTGGAAGAGTGCTGAGGTACCAGAAAACACAGTGACTTTCTATTTCTACTGCTTGGTGGGGCCTCCAGTGAGCTGCTGGCCGGATAGGTATTATAAATATCTGCTTGCTAAGAAAAAAAAAAACAAAAAAACCCGGAGCGGACATGGGGGAGGGTAGTGGTTCAAATAACGCAGGCATCGCTTACCTGGACTCTGAATTGGTTTTAGGGGACCTCAGCGCGCCACAGTGCAGCGAAGCTGAGCAGTGAAATTCAGGAGCTGAGAGAGAGTGACCACCCAGGGCCATGTGCCTTCAAGTGGGAGGTCTGTCAAATGCCAAGGTCAGGGTTGGGGAAAAAACAACTGAGTGCATGTCTGCTAAGACACTCCATCATCTAAAAACAGCCAAGTGTGAAACGACCTAAGAAAACAGGTCCAGCCAGAGGGCAGGGAGGGATCATGTTCATACCATATTTGGGCAGGAATCACATTCTTTACCTGGGTTCTCCTATTTAGCAGGGACACCTCTTGAATTCCACTTTAGGATTGTTCTACTCTGACTGCAGAGAGAAATTCACCATCCCAGGAGGCTTTGTGTACAACAGGTGGGAGAAGATGACAACAAAAATAAACTAGCCCCAGAAAGCTAAAGGGCGTGGTGGTGGATTTTAAGAGGAAGGTTTGTTACAAGACCCTAAGAACAGCCTGCGGTTTGCAAGGCTGGCCACACATTAGCATCACATGGGGAGCTTTTTAAAAATCCAGATATACAAGCTGCACCCCAGACAGATTAAGTAAGAATCTCTGGGAATGGGACTGGTATCAGGATTATTTACAGTGCTCCACTGTGCAGCGAGGTTTGAGAACCACAGATCTACATAGTACTGGTCAGAGTAAAGGTCTGTTCAGCCCAGCGCTGCCCTTTTCCAAAATACTAAAGGATACTGATGGCAAGATGGGTTGCTCATCTTCCTGGAGAATAGCTCGAGAACATGTTTCTCTTTACCTAGGTCTGGTTAACAGACTCCTAGTCTAGATTCCTTTCCCCTTAAATGCTTTACCTGGTTAAGTGAAATCCCTCACTTGGAATTGTGCCTTGGGCCACGGACCAGCTGTGGGAGTGCTTGTTATATCCTATCATGTTATTCTTTCCTGAATGCTGTCTGGTAGCTCTATGGTTAGTATGAGCTTCATAAAGAGGAAAACCACAGTATCCAAAAATAGGGTTTTTTCTGACTCATGCTTACCATACTGAACCAAACCCTGTGTTGTCTAGTGCTGGAACCAATCCTGCAGGGATTGCAGGAAAGGGGTATCCTATAGGCTTTCATTGAAATCTAACAGTATTCAAATATTTTCGAGTTTGAAAAAAGAACTGAAGATCAAGACCAGTTATGGAGCTGTTGGAATACTTAACACTGAGGCCATTTGAAGCTAAGAGTTTATTAAGTGAATGTCATAACTTTTTAGCTAGAGAAAATAATGAGATCTGCAGAGTGTCAAAAAAATTTATATCTGTTACCTAGCTTAGCTACACAAAATGTTCTAAGCATTCGCCTTCCAAAATACTTTGTTCTGGGTAATATATATATATATATATATATACATATATATATATAGACATATATATATACTTTTTTTTTTTTTTTTAGAGAGAGAGTCTTGCTGTCTCCCTGGCTGGAGTGCAGTGGTGTCATCATATCTCATTGCGACCTCAACCACCTGGGCTCAAGCGATCCTCCTGCCTCAGCCTCCTGGGTAGCTGGGATTACAGGTGTGCACCACTACGTCCAGCTAATTTTTTCTATTTTTAGTCTCAGGCTGGTCTCCAACTCCTGACCTCAAGCAGCCCTCCCACCTCAGCCTCCCAGAATGCTAGGATTATAGGCATAAGCCACCTTGCCTCATTGGTAATAGTTTTTTTTTTTTTAAAGGAACTTTTGTGACAAATAACTGGGTGGACTTTTAAGTAATACTTATAACTACCCAAATAATTTCAACATCCTGAGGGGAAAGAAAAAAAGAAATCCATTATGGAATTATTGAGTTTAGAAAAGGGACTTTTGATAAAAATCTAACCATTAAGATAACTTAATCAAATATGCAAATCTGTGACTTACTGAAGATCGTTTTAAAGAATGGCCTCACCTCAGTTTGTTGTGTTCCAATCACTTCATACACAAACCTTTTCACCATTTCACCAACACAGTTTGATGAAGTGAAGATAACTATCCACATTTTACAAATGAGGAAACAGGTTGAGAGGTTGTTTCCCAAAGTCTGTGCAGCTAACAAGTGACCAGGACAGAATCTAAACCTAGTTTGCTTCTAAAACCTATACTTCTTCTACCCTACCACACTACATTCTTTTTACTGGAATCAGTCAGCAAAAATGTCTTCTCTGTGGAAGACACTGAATAGGTATTTTAGCAGGTGATTTGGAAACCCAGGGGCTTTGGGTGTGAGCAGTAGTCCCAAGTCTTCATGCTTCATCTATTAACAACTGGCTATGTGTTTTCAGCTGACCCATCACTCTCCCTCCCCTTCAGGGGCTCATTTCCACATTGATTTAAAAGATTTGACACTAAAATAGTCTCTATAGATTTTTCCAATCCAAAACAACAAATTTATGTAATTAGGTCAAAAAACTTAAAGAAAATGGGCTTATGATTTTGTCAGAGCTAGGGAACACAGCTCTCACCCGTGTCCCAGGAACCACACGATGACTAAATCAAAGACTGTTTAGTAAACCAGGGAGTGCTTAGCACTGAGAAGAACACTAACAAAGTGTCAATACCTGCATTCAAGAATCCATAACGTAGTAGGGAGGTTTTCTGTGACAAATGCTGTGCAGATGCCATAGCCTAAATGGTGTGGGGCTTCAGAAAAAAGAGAATGGAAGGCCGGGCGCGGTGGCTCACGCCTGTAATCCTAGCACTCTGGGAGGCCGAGGCGGGCGGATTCTTTGAGCTCAGGAGTTTGAGACCAGCCTGAGCAAGAGCGAGACCCCGTCTCTACTAAAAATACAAAGAAATTAATCAGACAGCTAAAAATATATAGAAAAATTTAGCCGGGCATGGTGGCGCATGCCTGTAGTCCCAGCTACTTGGGAGGCTGAGGCAGGAGGATCGCTTGAGCCCAGGAGTTGGAGGTTGCTGTGAGCTAGGATGACGCCACGGCACTCTAGCCCTGGGCAAAAGAGTGAGACTCTGTCTCAAAAAAAAAAAAGAAAAAAGAGAATGGAGCCTGGCCATTGGGGACGGTGAGGCTGACGGCCTAGTGATTCAGCTAAATGTGAGGAGTGAATATCAGCACCATAGGGCAAAGTATAGGAAAAGAGATGATGAGCAAAGGTTTGGGGTCAGGAAAAGGTCTCTTGATTCCAAGAATAGTAAGGAGTTTAGTTTAGGGAGAATATAGGAAACTGAATTAGAGCAAGAGCAGAAGAGGCCGAGAGGCTGGAAAAAGACTTGAGACCACCTTAAATGCGAGACCTTTGCCTTTCATATATAGGAGCATTTAAAAAACTGTTGAAGGTTGTAAGCAGGGAAGCACATGGTTACTTTGGAACTTGTATACGAGATGATGGAATGGGAGTAACTCTGTAAGCAAAGACCTAATTTAGCTAACTGTACTATAGTCCAGGCATTTAAGATTAGAGAATCGAAATGCCTTTAATTTTAGAATTTTAAAATTACTAAATCTATATTAAGAAGTAAGTCATATTACTCCATAAAGACCCGTGACACAATAATTATAGGCCTTTGAATTTCCATTCCTGCTGTGCCAAAGAAGTTTCAAAGGAAGAACCCACAGAATTTAGTGACTGATTAGATGAAGAACAAGAAAAAAAGTGTTAAAGGTGAATCGATAGTTCGGAATCTGTGCAAATGGGGTCCGACTGAAAACAAGTATCTATTCCAAAGTCAGGAGGTGGGGGGGGAGTAACAAATGTGGCTTTACGCCTGTTGGATTTATAATGCCTTCGCAGGGTGTCTACGTGGAGATGTACAGCTGTGATTGAAACAGAGGCAAGATTGAGCTGAGTGGACAGAGACCTGGCTGCAGGTGAGGAAGCCAAGGGAGAGAGTGGAAATCGAAACACAGAGGGCCAAGGGGTGAGCCTTGAGGAACCCCCACTTTAGCGCAAACAATAAAGGGAAAGGAGAAAGCAGTGGAAAGGGAAGAGGATAATGCAATTTTGTCAATGCCAAAGACTACAAAACTGTGAGCCAAATAGTAATCACCCTTGTTGTAGGTCAGGCAGCTGTTGTTTAAAGAAGTTAGGTAACTAGCCCCAAACCACTGGCTTGCCAGCCATGGAGCTGGATTTAGGACCTTAACACCTGTTAGACTTCAGGCATCACTCTTCCAGGAAATGCCCCAGCCCTGACATCATGCCCCAGTTCCTTCTTCCAAGTACCCCACGTGCCTGTCAGTTCCTCACATCTAAGCAACCAGTCTGTTTCATGTGTGCATTCATAACTCAGCCTAGAATTAGTCCCAAACTTATCTTAAAATGGCCAAGGAAACACAAAAACTTTATGTTGAGGCATTTTTGTCATACAGCTGCAAATACAGGCAGCTCTGCTTAGCATAGTAAGTGAAGCATATTTTTGAAAAATAAATGAAAACAAATGAGCAGACACCTCTTTCTTATAAAGGAGTTGTATTCTCCAGGAATTCGCTAATCAAGGTATTATTGTGCTGCTGCAGACGTAGTATTTTTTTTCCCACTAGGTGTAGTTTCAACAGTATCTAGTAGAAGTGGCTGAATAACCTGTGACATTCTCACATGACAGGATAGCATCCCGCCCTGCCGCTAGCTTCTCTGAGTGT